GGGGTATGGGGGGGCGGCCTGTGACTCAAATTAGGCAACCAGAGTCCCTGCAAAGGGTTGTTATAAGGCCTCTGCAGTGACAGGCTCAGAGTGAGGCCTCTGCACACCTCCGGAGGCACCATTCATGGTTTGCTCTGCATAATATTTGGTTCAGAGGGAATCTAAGCCCAAGTCTGAGAGGATGAAGATGTGGGAAGGAAGCAATGTCCAAATGTCAAGTCTATACCAGGCAAGGCAAAAAGAGCTTCTGTGGGAACAGAGAAGCCAGAAAGGAGGGGACCACAACCAAGCAGGTGGGCACCACCCAAGGACACCTGTCTGCCAGACCACCCACATCCCCTCTCAGGGAGCCCAAACCCTCAGGTGGGCTGGCACCTTGGCCACATAGCTACTGCCAGCCAAAGAACACCCACTGTGCCTCAAACAGCCTCCAGGGCAGAGCCAGCTCCCTGGGAGGGGGGTCTCGGTGCCCTACTTCATGGAAGCTTTTCTGGGCTCTACCATCACTCTCGTTCCATGCAGGTTGAGGGGTCATTTGGAGGAAGCCAGAGTCTTAGAGCACCAGGGCTTGGGGGATAGAAGGGATGCAACTCTTTACAGGAAGGCGGCCAAGGCTGAAGGGACTAGAACAAGGGTCTCCTGGGAGGACAGAGTCTGGGATGAGCAAGGCCAGTGAAGGCCAAATCTTGGTCCAGATCAGCCTCTTCTGGTGAAAGGGAAGTTGGGTGGGAGGTGGAGGAGCCAAACCGGAACTCCAGCCTGCTGTCCCTCTATCACCGCCTCTGCGCCGAGCTCAGCGTCCCAGGGCTGCTACCAGGCACAGGGCTGGACCAGCTCAGCCCAACACTCTGAGGCGAGCCAGGCTGGTTCCTCCTCTGTCCCAACACAGACACACACAGTCACTGTCTCACCCCTCTCCTTCTCCCCCCACTCTCTCCCTCTCTCTCTCTCTCTCTCTTTTCCCTCCAAGGCATGTCAAAGCTGAGCAGAGCTGGCAGAGCAGCGTCTCTGTCCTCACCTACAGACACACACAGGCACTGTCTCACCCCTCTCCTTCTCCCCCCACTCTCTCCCTTTCTCTCTCTCTCTCTCTCTCTTTTCCCTCCAAGGCATGTCAAAGCTGAGCAGAGCTGGCAGAGCAGCGTCTCTGTCCTCACCCGGTCACCCATCCTACTGGCCCCAAGGCCCTGCTTTCGCCTGCTCTGTTCCTGGCTCCCAGCCCCCTGCCACCCTGGGCAGCCTGGCCGGACAAGGCCAGGCTGTTTTGGAAAAGTGCTGGGAGGTGGCAGAATGTGCGGTCTGCGAGTTCCCTCCAAGCTGGCGCCCCGGTCCCTGGACAAACAGTGCCCGTGTTTGCCTGTCCGCAGCGGCCTGTGTTCTCCTTCCAGCCAGGAGATCCCGGGGACCGGCGGCCGTGTGGGGAGCGGCAGGCGGGCGGGCGGACGTCACTGGCCCCAGGCCCAGTGGGGAGAGGCAAAGACAGACTGGGCTATGACGGGGCCAGCCACCCTCCCAGCCGGACCCACCCCGCGCCAGGGTGGTCAGGCCGAGGGCAGCCCAGGGACCCGTGCTGCCTTCACGTCCGCTGCCACATGGGACACTCCGCCGGGAGAGATGGAATTTACTCTCTGGAAACCGCTACCTGTCCCTGGCTGCTTCCCCGCGGGCGCCGGGGCTTTTCTGCGCTGCTGCTTATGCTGGTGGCCTCCGACTCAGGGAGTCCCTCAGAGTGGCCCTGGCTGGGAAGGGCGGGTCGCCAGAACCACCCTCCACTTCTGTGTGGCCTTGGGAAAGTCGCTGCCACACTGAGACTCTCCTTTATCTTAGGGACAAGAGGGACTCACCTTGCTCCTCTCCACCCTGGGGAGAGTGAGGGACAGGACAGGGAGCAGACCCGGGCACGGGAGGAGAGGGACGGGAGGCCCAGACAGCACGGGGCAGATGAGCGGGCGGCCAGGGCTTGCTGACCATACTGCCCTGGTGGCATTGTTCAGATGTTGGGTCATTCTCCTCTGGGTGGCCAGGTTCTGTGACGCAGGCAGAGCAAGGCCCTGAGTCCCGGGTTGTGCCTGGGCCAGAGTGCTCTGAGCCGAGGTTGGGTCTGACTGACTGTGTCACAAACAAACACTGCAGCCACAAAAAGCTCTTCTCAGGCAGTTCAGGAGTGGGCCGTGGGAGGGGACCAGGGCATGTAGAGGCTGGGACCAGCCTGGACACTGCGGTCTCTCTCCACGGAGCCGGGTCCTTCCTGGTGCCTAGCCTGCAGCTCGGGGGCCAAGGCTCCATCTCCTGCTGCCCTCGCTCCCCGTCCCCAGCCCCCTGGTCCTCAGGACCACGCTGGACATTGCTTGTCTCAGCACTGGAGATCTCAGCCTTTACTTGTCCTCACCTTGGGCCTCTGTGGCAATCAGGCTGGGGAGAAGCTTTTTATAAAAATGTGGTGAGCAGCAGAAGAGAACAAGGTTCCAGTCCTCAAATAGGCCTGGAGAACGCTGCAACCCGAGTCTCCCTACACTGCATTTCCCCTTAAGCTACCTGTCCTGCGGCTCAAGGTTCTGAGATATCCTGCAGAAAAGGAACCCAACTTCATTTAGCTCATTTCCCAAACTTCTCTGATCTTGGAATCTGTCTGATCCTGCAGTACCCATGAAACAGGCCTTGAGAAGTGCCAGCGTGGGGCACAAGGCCAGACATTAGAACTGAATCCTTCTCCCCAGTTTGCCATGTGGCTGTGGATATCAGTGTCCTCGCTCAACTAAATAAGATGGGCTCTGAGGACAGGCCCCCAGAGCTCTGGATCACTGTGTCCAGCTGTGAGACCCCTGGCACAGCCACACTTGGCCAGGGCTGCGGCCTCCCAGCTGCCCCATCCCCCAGCAGGCCGACCAGTTACATCTTTCCCTCCCCAGGGGAACCTGCTCCTCCCGAGACCCTGCTATGGACTTCTCTGTGTCCGCACACAAGGAACAGAGGCCTGGCCTCACAGGACAGACGTGCCATGGAAGAACTTCCTAAGTGCAGGTTGGACTGGGTGTGCAATGTGAACACAGGTGAACCAGAAGGACCCTTTCAGTGAGGCTGAGAAGGCAGAGACCAGAGAGGCAAACGAGACGAGGTGAGTCCCCACGGTTTATTATGGAAGCCGATAAAAGAGCCACATTGAGTATTTCCAAAAATCACAAAATGCACAACATTCATTTTTTTTAATATGCAACGTGGAATATTATATACAGATTAAAACCACATGACAGCAAAAACGCTCACACGGCACCAGTTTCATATGAAAACGAAACACACAAGTGCTTTTTCAATATTAAAACAACTGTGATAAAACATATTAATATTTTGAACCATGTTTACAATAGAGAAAAAAATCCATATTTTACTAAATAACAAATATTTAACAGCAAAAAACTTTATACTAAATATCTATTTTGAATTATAACAAAAATAGTACTTATAATAGTTTATAAAGACAGACACAAAATTATAACATTTATGAAAAAAAAAAAAGTTTTGTGTATAAAATAATATTATAGCCATCTGGGCAAGGTCAGGATGGTGCCCAGAACACAAACGCCAGCGCCCAACATCGAAAGTGCTTCAATCTGCAAGCCCATGGCAGGAAGAGTTTTGTGGGGTTTTGTCTTTTTAATGTCAAGTTACAATAGTTAAGAACGGTAAGTGAGAAAACACCCATCTAATGCTACGTCTATAAAACACACACACAAACACACGGATACAGGTATCTCAGTACAGCTCTACAGAGGAGACGGACGGACGAGTTGCAACCCTGGAATCCTGTCCGCCAGCCCGAGCTTCCTGCAGGCCTCTTCTCCTTGCCTTTGAGACCCAGCAGGGCAAACGATCCTTCTTTCCTCCCTCATAGGGATCCCCCTCAGCTTTTCCTTCTCTGCCCCCTCCCAGGCCGGCCATCCCAAGGGAAGGCCCCTGAGACCCCCCCAGAGCCCTCCAGCCCCCGCCCCTCCCCAGGGCCAGACCTGGGGGGCTTCCTGTCTGAAGCTTCACTTACTGCACTCCCAGATACTCAGTCAAAAACGATTGGTTCAGGGCAAGCTGGATCAGCTTAAAGGGAAATGAACCTTCCAGACACTGGGCTTTTCTGTGGGTAACAGATTCTGGTGCACCATGCAGCTATTTTGCAAGCTTTGATGAGTCTTTACACATTCTGGCCTGTTTTTCAGAATTTGGGGGGATTGAGGGATTTTACTAGTTTTCTTAAAATCTCTAACTATTTTTGCCAATAATGTCTGTTCCCCATTGTTTTTAGTAGCGAAAAAGTAGGAAACACTGAGCTGCTCGCAGCGGCAGTTACGGAGATCGTCATGTCTGCATTCTTCTGTGTTTTTTATTTTCTCGTAAAGCGGATTCATTGCTTTCATAACATCAAAAACCAATAGAGAAATATGGAAGGCAAAGAAAAATCTGAAAACAGACAAAATTGCTTAGAGACTCAACAAAGGCCCCCAGACCATCCCCAGGAGGCATCCCAAATTGCCAGCACTCAAAACGCCAGTGGCAGGAGCTACTTCTCTGCTCCCAGCCGTCCCCACTGGCCCGTTCTCAATCGCTTCTGACAAGTCACACGTACCCTCCTCCTCAGCTCCCGCTGCAGCCTCCCCGTGGCTGCTGGAGGCCACCAGGCCCCAAGTCAGCCCTGAGGAAGGACTGTCTCTAAGCTCACCACCCCTTGCTTTCAATTCGTCCCCACACTTGAGCTGGGCTGGGCAGACAGTGGCATAGAGGTGGAAAGGACATCAAGGACACCTTTCCAAAGGCTAAGTAAGGGCAAAGGGTGAGGGTTACGGAGGGGAAGATGACGGAGGCCCTCACTCCCCGTCACAGGAAAGAACCCGTATCCTTCCCCTACTCACTAGCTCAAGTAGGGGGGCCCTGGGGTGAATAGTGGCCAAGCAGGAAATCATGGCAGCCTCCAAATCCACGTGATCAGGGTTTTTGACAGGACAAGGAGGAGGCAGTGGGCCATTTCTCCATCTCCTCCAGGGAACAACAGGCGGAGGTGCTGGATTTCAGCTCGGAGCGAGGCTCTGAGGTAAAACCCAAGTAACATCTGGAGTCTGGAAGGGCTGTTCCCCTAGGCCAGGGGGCCGGGTTTGGCCAGAGACCCCTTCATCTTCACTTGCAGAAGTCTTGCCTGGGACGGCTGGGACGGAGGCTAGGGGATGGAGGAGATGTTTGCTCCAGACCCCAGTATGGCCAAGATTCTCTATCAGTGAATAAATATGGGGCAAGGGGCGGGTAGCCCATGAGCCGAGGGCCTCTGCTGAGCGTGCGTGAGCAGGGAGTGGGCCTGGCCCAGCGGGTCCTGCCTGGTGGGAGGGTGGGATGTCAGTGCGCCTGCCCAGGGCCACCAGGGAGGATGCTGGGGGGACAAGGCCTGGGACTACTTTGCCCCAAGGTCAGAGGACAGAACAAGTAGCAGCAATAGGTAATTTCAAATGTCCAAACTGGCGGGGTGGGGGGGAGGGGATGGAGGGGGCGGGGAGGGCTCTGCAGGATGGTGTAGCCCCTGCCCCTGCCTCCACCGAGGCTGTCCTATTACCCAGGATGCTGTTCTTTGGGCAGCCACAAGCAAGGGGCACAAGCCTGGTCTGAGCAGTGGCAGGCGAGGGGACACTGACAGAGCACCAGGGAGGCACCTCTTTTTCTCCCTCCCCCAGCTCAACCCCCTGATTCAACTAAAAGGGGCCAAAAGAAATAGGAGCGAAGAGGCCAGGTGGGAACATCACAAGCAAACACTGTAGCATGAGCCGACAGACACTTAACACTGTGACGGGCATGCAGGGCCCGGGCCACACCTGCCCAGGAACTAAGCTGGTGGAAGTGGAGGAGCCTGGGGAGAAGTGGGAATCGGGGAGGACGGGGCCCTTCTGGCTTTGGGTAGGGTTTGCCAGGGAGGGGAGACAGGGGAGGGCAGTATGGGGGCCGCTGGCCCTCCTTGGGTTCCAGCCCCCCGCACCCACAGGTTTTGACCTCCCATCACCCCCACCCGCTGCCGGCTGGGCTGAGGCGGGTGCGGGCCGGGCGAGCCAGGTTAGACCGTGGCGCTCAGCATGGCCTCCGTCTCCGGCAGGATCTTGTTCTGGTTGGAGTCTAGGCCGAAGAACTTGACGCTGAGGCCATCCACGGGGTGCACGACAGGGACCAAGGTGACGCGGGGGAAGGTCCGGGTGGCCAGCTCGAAGCGGCTGGTGCTGGCCAGCTCCACCGCCAGCACCTTCAGGAACAGCTTGGCCAGGTGCTTGCCCAGGCAGGTCCGGACGCCGCCGCCGAACGGCAGGTAATGGAAGCGGCCATCCTTGTCTTCGCGCCGCGCCTGGCTGAAGCGGTCGGGGTCGAACACGTTCACGTCTTTGAACACGGGTGCCGTGTCGTGGGTGTCCCGGATGCTGTACATGACACTCCAGCCTTTGGGGATCTGGAAACCCTGCAGTAAGATGGGGGGCAGAGGTGGGGTGGTGAGAGGCAGAGGAGGCCAGGGGAGGGCCCAGGACTGCCACTTGCCCGTCCCCACCCCCAGATGCTCATGACTGGCCTCTCCCTAGAGGTGCCCTGCTGTGGTCCCCAGGCCTTGCCAGCTTCCCCCTCCCAGCATGTTAGTCCAGTCTCCTATTTACAGATGTCCACATGCAACATCACATATGACACCTGGGTTGGCACCGTCTGACGCTCTCCCATCAGACTGCAAGCTCCCTGAAAGCTGGCACTGGCTGTCCAAGGGGGAGGCTGGTCCTTCCCATGAGTCAGCCCCGGCCCCCATGGCAATGTCCCCCTGTCCCCCACCCCAAGCCCTGTGGGGCCCAGCCTCACGTCGAGCTCGAAGGTCTGCAGCACGGTGCGGTAGCCGCCAGAAATGGGTGTGAAGAGGCGCATGACCTCCTTGATGACACAGTCCAGGTAGCGCAGCCCGCTGAGTGTGTCGAGGCGCAGGGTGCCCTCGCAGGGGCAGCCGCCACTGTGCAGGATGCCCTGGGCCCGCAGCTCCTCCCGCAGCTTCTCCAGTACGGCCGGGTGCTTCAGCAGCTGCATGATGAGCGAGGTGCTGGCGCTGGCCGTGGTGGCGTAGGCCGCAAAGATCAGCTCCAGGGTCCCGTCCTGCAGCAGCACAGAGGAGAGGTGTCACTGGCTATCTGACCGTGGCTGGGTGGGCCCAGCCCGGGCCAGCCCTGTTCTGCCAGTGTCCCCTGTGCCCACGGTCATCTGTGCTGAGCCCTGCCCACTTCCTGCTGTGAATTCTGCTTCCTTGGAGACTCAGGTTGCTGGGACACTAGGGCCACGATGGACACGAGGGCATAGACAGTCCTTGGCTAGACAGGAGACACGACTTCTGCCATCTAGGGCAGAAGCACTAGTCTGTAAGTCCCTTGGGGCAGAGCCTCTTGTCATTTGCTGCTGGATTCCTGGGCCCACTGAGCTCACAGAAGAAAAAGAACAAACCCCAAGGGGCTGGGCGCCAGGCGAGCAAGTGCGTGTGCTGGATTCCTGGGCCCACTGAGCTCACAGAAGAAAAAGAACAAACCCCAAGGGGCTGGGCGACAGGCGAGCAAGTGCGTGTGTGCGTGTGTGCGTGTGTGGGGACACAGGTCTGAACCCGGCCTTCCACTTCCAGCCGCAGTTCCTTCCTCCACCCCCAGGAGAAGGACATCGGGTAGGTGGTCAGGGTAGCTGACAGGGTCTAGGAGGCAGCCTGGGGCCACATCCATGTGGACTGCAATGAGAAGGCTGAGGGGAGGTGACCCCAGAGCACTTAAAGGCACCTGCAGGGTTCTCTGGGGAGCAGGCCACAGTGGCCATGGGTTTCCCATGGAAAGTCCCCAGCACGTCATCTTATTCCTAGCCCTACAATTTACAAATGTGGACACTGGGCCCAGAGAGGGGAGTGAGGGGGTCTGGGTCTCCTCCCGGACATGGCACTGCATACAGGTCACAAAACTTCTTGGTCTCTTCCTGGCTCCCCAGGAAAAATTTTAGGGCTAGAATACGGGAAGCAAAGACAGTGGGGATGGGAGTTTCCAGTGAGTGCCGGGGGCACCCTAGGTGGGGAGGATAAAGACCCCTCCTCAGTGGCACATCCACCCAAAACAGGCCTGGAAGTCCTGCTCGGGGCCCCACTGGGCTTGGCCAATGCCAGGCAGGATGGGAGAGTCCACAAGGGCCACCAGCTTGCAGGAGAGCCCAACTCAGGTCCACATCTCCCCTGCTCTTCCCCAGGGGCCAAGGCTGGCCTCAAGCAAGTGGGTTCCCTTTCTGGCCTGCATGTCCTTTGCTGCTCAGGCTCCCAGGGGCTGTGGGGAGAAGACAGTGGCCCACTGCTTCCTACACAGCAGGGGCAAGGACACATTCTCTGCTTCTGGTTTAGCTCCCTCCAACCACCCCTGCAGCTCAGAAAGTGTGTGTGTCTTGGGACCAGAACAGGTAGAGACAGCCAGGCGCCTTTCCTAACCCAGAGGAAGCCCCGGAAGGGAGCTCATGCTGTGGGGGCAGCCCCCACCTTCAGCTCCTGCATGCTCATCTCCTTCCCGTGCTCCTTGCTGCTCTCAATGAGGATGTCCAGGGCGTCCGAGTAGTCCTTGCCCTGGGTGCACTGCAGTTTCTCCCGGATTGCCTTTTCCAGCCCCTTCTGCAGGATCTGCCGAGCCTGTATGCCCTGAGGAGAGAAGACGCTGTCACCCAAGGGCAGGGCAGGGCTCCCATCTGATCCTCAGGACTGTCCTACCCTGACACCTCTCCTCTCCATCCCTGTGCCCCAGTGCCTGTGTTGGTGGCCTCCTCAGGGTGGGCTTGTGGAAGCCCCCTCTCCCCTCTCCTACCAGGCCCTGGGTGCTCACCCGCCGGTAGCCACTGAAGGGCAAGTCGACTGGCAGGGAGAAGATGTTCTCCACAAATTGCTGGTAGACCTCGAAGAGGTGCCCGAGGTCTTCCTCGGGGATGCTGAAGCCCAGTAGCACCCGGATGGCCATGCGGAAGGTGAGCTTCTGTGCCTCCTGGTACACATTGATGGCCTCGGGGTGGCTGCTCCAGGCACGCAGAGTGTCCTGTATCACCAGCTGGATCTTGGGCAGGTAACTCTCCAGGGCCTCGTGGCTGAAGATCTTGGAGAAGACCTGGAGGGCAGACAGGCAGGTGGGTGAGCTGGTCAGCACAGTCCGCCCCAGGCTGGTCCTCTGAAGCTGACATGGTCCCCGCTGTGCCTGGATGAGGCACCCATCCCAGGACTGCACCCAGGGAAGTTCAGGTCCTCACTTCCTCCCCACTGAGCTCCCTGCTTGCACCTCCCAGAGGCCTCCCAAACACAGCCCCCTCGCTGGGTCCCCTACTCCGAACCCCCATTCTACTTCCTGTGTCTTGGCAGGGAGGCGGGAAAGAACAAGATTAATACATAGTTCATAAGCACTTTCATTCCAAGTTGGGACTCTCCACATAACTCATAGGGTGACCTGGTCTGTCATCTCCTTTCTTGACCCACAGAAAAGTGTGTGCTCCACACAACAGCAAAGCCTTGAGGACTGGGCAGTCCAGATGCCAACAATGCTGCGGGGGATGTGGCTGTCCCAGCTGTGGGGGGCACAAGAGAGGGTTGAGACAAGCTGGAGCAGGGAGGCTGTCTTTCCACTGCAGGGAAGAGTCCATTCCCGCACTCTTGGGATACAGGGCAGAAGTGCCCAGGAGGAGCAGGAAGCGGGTGAGTGGACTGGATAGAGAAGAGGCAGAAAGTATTAGGTGGCTTTTCTTCTGCTCCACTGATGGGAGAGCAAGAGAGTCTAAGGCTAGACCACAAGCAGGACTTCCTGGGAACAAAAACTGTCCTCACTCCCTGGGAAACACCTACTGGCTGGAGATTCTAGGAAGTTTATTAACAGCTGTGCCACTAAAATGGCCACCAGTGTGGCCAGGTCTGGAGGCAGGGGGATGGGGACAATGGCTTTCCACCCCAAAAGACCACAAAGACAAACAGAAGCCCTTTTAATTCCCTGCATCTTCCAGGACCATTTTAAGTGGCCACTGAGTCCCTGCTTCCACCTCCCCCTGCCTTCCATCTGCTGATTGGCCCGGTGGCCCCCTTGCCGCCCCTCCTCACCCAGATACCCCTGCACATGTTTTTCACACCCACTAAAATGGCCACCAGTGTGGCCAGGTCTGGAGGCAGGGGGATGGGGACAATGGCTTTCTACCCCAAAAGACCACAAAGACAAACAGAAGCCCTTTTAATTCCCTGCATCTTCCAGGACCATTTTAAGTGGCCACTGAGTCCCTGCTTCCATCTCCCCCTGCCTTCCATCTGCTGATTGGCCCGGTGGCCCCCTTGCCGCCCCTCCTCACCCAGATACCCCTGCACATGTTTTTCACACTGCTGCCCATGGTGCACAGAGGGGGAACGATACTAGTTTATGTACTGACAGCCTGTGGGTGTCCCTTGTATCCAACAAACTCCGTCCCTCCCAGAGTCCAGAGCAGAAGGGGTGCCCCCCCCCCCACCGGCGCCAGGGGAAAGGTCATCAGGGAAGGCAGGGAGGGGAGGGGCAGTGCAGAGGGAGGAAGCCCCCCACCCACCCCATGCAAACCACACACACACGCCTGCCCTCCCCTCCTGCTCCCCAAACACAACCGCCGCACAAACTGTAAATGTGAGAATTTCCCCTGCAGTCAGCTCGAGGAGGAAAAGGTAACATTTTCCTGGCCTGGGCCCTGCATGGCTAATGGGAGGGCTGGTTTGCAGAAATAACAGTGCTGGCCCTTCAGTGGCCCAGCCAGGCGCTCACAATAGCACTTTCATTCCGAAATTCCCGGTGGGTAGAGGGCGGGAGGGAGGGAGGCCGGCAAGGGGCAGAGAGGCCCCCACTGTTTGGGGCTGCTCCTGCTACAAAGAGACAGCTGAAAGGTAGAAGGACAATACGAGGTCAGCCCAGACCCGGATGAGTCACTCACACCTTGCCCAGTTTCGGGGGTCCCAGAGAATTTCCAGGGGGGACTTTAGCTACCACCTCCATCCAGAGGGTTATGAATAAAAGCCATGCCGTCTGCCTCCACGCCCCCTGGTGTCCTTAGGATTCCAGCTGGGTTCAGCCCTTGGTGAAAGGGTCTTGGTGGGGAGTGGGAGTGGGACCCTTCCCCCAGAACCCAACACTGTCCAACTCCGGGCCCTTACAGATAGTGAAGAGGTCACCAGGTGAGCAGAAAGCAGCACAGAGGAGCTGAGCAGGCCCATCAGGAGAAGAGAAAGTGAGGCAGAAAGGAGGAGGCTACCAGGCCCCCATGGGAGGAAGGAGGTGAGGCAAGAGGAGACAGGGAGGCCACGCCTGTCCCTGAGCCAGCCAGCTCAGGGCAGACTAAGATACTGTCATGGAGGGGTTGGGCTGGCCAGGGACCCCTGCACATGGCAGACATGGGCCCAAAGAGGGGCATGTGGAGGAGCGACAGGCAGAGGCCACGCCCACCAGGAGCAGCTGGACTCTAAGGTGCATGGGGTGATGGGGAAAGGTAGGTTGGGTACCCAGAGACTTGAATTTTAACCACAGATCATCCACCAACTTACTGTGTGTTCCTGGCCAAGTCACTACCCACCCCTGAGCCTCAGTTTCCCCATCTGTAAAATGGTGAGGTTGAACCAGGTTTCTATCCAGAGCACCCAAACGCTAATATCCACTTGCCCCTAAGTAGATGCAGAACCCTGAAAGCAACCCAGAACCGGGCAATGCTCGAGCCACCTGGGAAGGGCCTGCTAGACCCAGGAGGGCCCATCCCGGGGTTTCCAAAGATGGAGTGCTGAGCATCCCCACTGCACCCCAAGAGTGGCCAGCTAACCCACTGGCAAGCCCTGACCTGCCCCATAGGTTATGGTCCCCGCGCCCTCTAGTGATGGCTGGCTGAATCGCGCCTGCTTAGGCCTTGGGGGCCAAGCAGGGCAGGAGCAACCCAGTAAGACAGAAGGTCCAGGCAGACCTGGGACTGAGCAAAAAGACTCCAAGGACAGGAGGTCCACACCTGATGCCCAAGTGGGAAGGGGTCCCAAGCAAGGCCAGGAATTGGAATGGCCCCAGGAAGCCCACTGCCACCTGTACCTGAAAGAGAACTGAAGCCAGGACCAAGGCTTTTGTCTTGACCAGCCTCTGATCTGCCAAGTAACAGCCAGCAGGTTGCTGCCCCTCTGAGGCTGTTTCCCCACTGGTTTCATGAGGGGTACAACCGGATTTTCTGAAGCCCCTTTCCACCTGGTTGTCCCATGATTCTCCTCAGAGCCCCCCTGAGGTGGAGAAAGTACCCAAATGAGAAGCCAAGCACAGGGAGTGGCAGGGCACTCTGGCCCCGTGGGGCTTTGTTCAGAGGTCACCAAGTCCATGGCCCTGCCTCCGGCCAGCTGTTCCACAGGCACTGGGGCCCCTCAGGGGCTGGGAAGACTCCAGGGCCTCATCCCTGGGTCCGTGCCCAGGGTTAACAACTCAGGCACTTCCTGAAGTCAGGCAGCCCAGAAACCACCACCCACCACAAAGGACAGGAGGAGGCGGAGGAGCCGGCCAGGGCAGAGGGAGGCCCGGCTGCGTCAGGGCAGGCTGGGTCTGAGGCGGCCGCCTGCCGGGGTCAGGACTCGGGCACTCTGGGAAGATGCCCGGGAAGTGGCTCGGTGTGAAGAGAGGAAGGGTTCCCGGCCCCCAGAGCCGGCTGCCCTGACCACAGTCATCACAGGAGCCAGGGCTGCTTTGTTTCCCTCTGGGGCTTCCCTCGGAATTCCCAAAAGTGAGCCAAGAATGTCGGACAAAGGTCACTGGGAACCAGCCCAGGCCCAGGCAAAGCCCTGCAGAGGGAGCCGCAGGTATGGACTTCCCACCAGGGTTGGGGTCTGGGCGGGTGGGGGCAGAGGGTCACAGGAGACCTGGGCACTCCCATCCAGGTATACCTATACCTGCTGGAGCCTCAGAGGCACAGGCAGAGGGGAGGAGGGGCTCCTGTCTTGAGGGATGGCCTTGAACATCCCCCCAACCCCCATCAGTTTCCCCAACAAAACAATAAGCTTGAGAGCCACATCCCTGGTTCTCTTCCTCCCTTTGGAATGTGAACCGATTCACAACAAGGCTCTGGGGGCACCACTGGGGGCTTGTCAAGGCACAAAGCCCCTATAATTGTTTCTGCAAATGGTTTCTGCCCCCCATCAGGCCTGTATCGCCCCTCTCACCCCTATCTAGTGTCCTGGGAGGGGTGGCTCTAGGAACCTCAGGGCCCTGCATGCTGAGCCTGCTCAGCCAGAGAGCCTCCCCTTCTCCGCCAGAGGCTGAGGATGGACAGACACAGAGATGGGCAGCCACGGGAGCAGGAAGAGCCTGAGAGAGACCCCACTGCCTGTGCCAGTGACTCAGACTGGGAGGAATGGAAGCAGCTGCCCAGGAGGGGTGGGGGCCCGGGCAGGCCACCCGGCCAAGCCACCGGAGCCGCAGCCTGCGGAGTGGAAAGAATAACAGAGGGAGGGCAGCCACCGAGGCAGCCGTCCGCACAGGGTGACGCCAAGGTGTGTACTTTAAACTCAAGTAAGGGGGGTGGACAAGAGAGGACGTCATCTTCCCAGCTGCCTGGGGTTTCTACCGGGCCTCGACTTCACCCCACTCAGCCCTCTGGTTGAGAGAGGCTGGCCCAGAGGGCACCCCCTGTCCCCAGCCTGTGCATGCCCCTTCCCTGTCCCCCATGGGCTCACCTCCAGGCCTGCTTCTCACCCCCCTGACTCCCACACACACAACAAAAGCACGTGGAGGTGAGGGCAGCACTTGGCAAATAACTGCTGGGCCCCAGACGCAGAAAACGCTTGCCTAAACACTCTTATCCCTCTTCCAGCCACAAGATACCCCCTTAAAAAGCTGAGGCCCAGAGGGGAAAGGTCACAGTGCAGGGCATGACTGGCCACACCCACCAGGGTCCCTGATCCCCCTGCCTCCCACCACTCCGAACCCCACTGAGCTGCCTTCTACCAGCCCTGGTGGGCTCTGAATTTATCTAAGAGTCCTGAAGTGGATTTCCTCCATGGCCCAAGTTCATTCTTGGGGTAAGGCCAGCTGTTCTGGCTACTCTAGTTTGTTCTAAGGATTTATCAGGTCCCTGGAGCCCCTTCTCTTCAGGCCTGGGGAACCCAGGATGGATATAGCGGCTGGCACAGGGGCTCAGGGCCAGAGCAGACCCCAGCCAAGCCTTCCCACTCCCTGCCAAGGCCACATTTGTCTTCCAAGGCTGGAAGAGTGAGCAAACACATCAGCACCACAGCCTTGGACCCCTCCCTGCACTGGGAGAAGGACACAGAAAGGAGAGAAAAAAGGAGGGGGCGGCCTCCACGCCCAGCCCGCCCACCCACCCTCTGCCTGGCACAAGGGCATGGACAGGGAGGCGCCCACTCCCAGGCACCCTGGCGGCTCCCTCCCCCGCTGACCTTCAGAAAGATCCGCTCCTGCCTCCCGCCCCCTCAGCAGCCCCTGTGCCCACCAGCTGGTGCTACAGTAACTTTTGGGTGAAGGACTTCAGCTGGCAGAACAAAGGCTCTGTGCCTATACCAGGGGCTGGGACAGAGCTCCCAGAAGCAGAGCTGCCTGGCTGTGCCACCTGCCTTCCCATCCAAGGTAGGTTGGAGCTTCTGCCCTGAGCTGAGCCTGGTGGACATCACTGTGCAGCCAGAGGCTGTGCCCTGGTCTGAGGACCCACAACTGTAGGTCTTTCTGGCTTTGCCCTCCTGCTGAGGCCCCTCCTGGCCTCTCCAGCCCAACACAAACTTCAGCATGCACAAAGTCTCTGAGAGGAGTGTGGTGAGCCTGAGCCCGAGCCTAAGCCTGACCTCTACCCCCACTCCAGGACAGGGCCCAAAGGTGAGGGACTCCAGGGGCTCCAAGGCTAAGTGCATCTCCTGAGATGCTCTCCAAGTTCCCTGAGGGTATCTCAGGGCCACCATCAGGGGTACACTAAAGCTGCTGGCCCCTCGGCTTGAAGAGGCCCAGCCTCATCTCCAAAGAGAAAATGCCCAATCCCGGTGTGGGGCTAGGCATCAGAAGCTTCCAGAACTACGCCCTCCACCACGTCTCTGACAACCCTTTCAGCCCCCACCTTCCCGAGCAGACTCCAGCCACCCTTCCAGGGCAATACCCCAGCCACTCTGTACACTAAGAGGGACGAGGTCACTCCCCCATTCATCAGACATCTCAAGCCCCGGGTGGGGGAGGGGTTGTAAAGGAGGAAGGAGGAAGTCTCAGGCACTGGCTGTAGGGACACAGACCAGGCTTCCAGATGATTCTGTTCGATCTGGCGAGACTTTCTGGACTTCCTCCCTGGCAACCCCATTCCTGCTGGCCCTAGACCACCAGGGCAGCCAGGGCAAACACCTGGAGTGCAGCGATGGCAGCTAGGAGCCCCCTCCCAGCACATCTGGTCAGACCTCCCAGAGAAGGGTGGGCCACCAGCCCCAATGGAAACAGTGACGCTTCTAGTTCCCCCCAGCCAGGCCCCAGCACACCTGGTCCCCACTTCCTGCCTGTACATCCTAACCAGGCCACTCTCCAGCCAGGTCCCTGACTGAGGCCTGGGCTGGAGAAGGCAGTGTGAGGTGCACGTGGCAGCCCCCACCCTCGCCACATGGAGTCCACCAGGCACTGGGTCCAGCAGACTGGCCATTCTCTCCAGGACCAAGGTGGATATTTGGAAAGAGTGTCCCCAAGTATTCTCTTCTTATTTCTCTAGCTAGACTCCACTTCTTGAGGACAAGGGTCAAATTTCCTGCTTCAAAGCACCAGCCCTTTTATGTAGTTCAATTAGGGAGATTTGGGGGGCAGGATCTTTTTGTCTTACTGACTACGCATTTACTGCACGGCCAACACACATGCCACGTAGCAAGCACACAGCTAGTACACACAAACAGAGGGTTAGGGTTAGGGTACCCTCTATGTGGTTCTTAAGCCTCGGTCAGGATCAACTGGCTTCTGGCCATTCCCTGACCCCAAGCAACTAGAGGGCCAGTGCTCTGAAGAGGGAGGCCATTGATATCTCACCCCCTGTCCTCACTTTCTGCCCCCAGCCCCAGCCCCAGCCCTGTCCCTCTCTCTTCCTTCTCAGTGTATCCCTCTCACTGTTCATCTGTGCTGTTTTCTTCCTTGTGCTGCCCTCAACCCCCACCCCAATGGACAATATAAGCCAAAACCTTGGGGCTTTCCAGGCAGGCCCTCTCCACCTGGCACCTGGATGCCCAATGTCAAGTCAGGTAGAGGGTGGGTGGAAGCCCAAGGCAACAGCCTCACCCCAAAGCCCTCTACACCTCCAAGGTCTCACACTCTGGCCCCAGCCAAGCCTCTTTCTTCCTCCCAGGACCCCCTACCCACCCACCCCAGCTTCTGGTAGTCCCAAGTGAACAGGACCGAGTAGAACTCTACTTGGTGGCCCAGACACACCTACTCCCATGGATGCTAAAGGCCCGTGTTGCAGGCTCTCCCTGGCTTTCTTTGCTTCCTGACCTAGTTCATGCCTCACTCAACATCTATAAGCCTTGGTGTCCCCTTCTGTGAAAGGTGGACAATAATTCCTTTCTTGCCAAAGCTTCTATACAGATGAAATGAAGAAGCAGCGAGAGCCTTTGGAGCTGGGGTCTTGAGTCTCAGCTCTCCCCTCACTCTTTGGAACGGGTCCTTTGGTAGAGTCACAAAACTATGTCCAACACCTTTGAAAAGCCCTCATTTTAAAGTTTACAGACCCCCTTCCAACCATTCCTCAGAACCGCCCCCCCCCCATTTGTCCCTAGGACGTATTAACTCCTTCCATCTCTGAGTGAGGTAGATGGAAGAGATGACGTCGGGAGCCCCTTTCCAGTTGCTAAAATACATGCTTTATTAAGGATTGGGCGGGGCGGGGGGGGGGGGGACCCCCCCTCCCCAAAGTTTGTTTTTTTTTTTTTTTT